CCCGGAAGCGTTTTTTGTCGACACGTTTTGGATTTTTAACGGCAGCCGGATAAACAGTAACGACAAGTATAAAGAAAAAAACACTTCCCCTTGGTTGGAACAATCAGAACGGAGCGTAAAGAGAATGAAGATTGGATTGACTATTTATAACATTGGACTGAACGACAGCGGCGAGTATATATGTGCTCTTAACACCTCACTTGGCTTGCACCTGAAAAACGTTAGTGTTAAGGTCACGCGGAAACCAGGCTCCCAACCAGGTTTCCATATTCAGCAACCTACTGAAATGCCCCAGGGGAAAGCAGATTTGCTTGGAACTACACTGTTCATTGGTCTGGGTCTCTTTGTTGGATTGGTGACGACCATAATAGTTTCTATGAAGCTATGGAGATGGCCAAGACCTAGACCTCCAAAATCAAGTAAGTCAATAATGAAATACATCAGATGTTAGATGATGCGTTCCACTTTTATGCCCGAGTATTTTTACTCGGTTACCGTGAGCACACTGTGTTTTGTTTGTATTTTAGCTCCTGAGCAATCAATTCTTTGTTTTTAACTGTTAATCTCACATTTCAAAAAAGGCGTCTGATAATGAGATATGGAGTATATGTGTAGACAATTATTTATCGGGTACTCAAGGCCTGAGCTGAACATCATTTTATGTCGATACCCGAGCACTGTTCAGGTGAACCAAGTGTTTAGCCGTTACAGGACCTCAGCTGTCCTTTTTGAAACCCCTCTGTAGAAGAAAAACCCCTTCGGAATCAACGCTAGCTAGAGTCTTTCCTTCTTGTTCTAATACTTAAGCTTTTTTTCCCGCCTCCTAGTTAAATCTCCCCCAGATCTGGACGCAGGAGACTTCGAGTATGATGTATTCCTCACATATTGCAGAAAAGACTTCTCCTGGGTGGACAAGGAGCTGCTACCTCTATTTAATCATAACCAAGTGAAATATTGCGTCGATTTCATCCACTTTGAACTTGGCAAAGCGTTTCTACAAAGCATGGTGGAAGGCATCTATAAGAGCCGCAAAGTTTTAGCAGTCTGGTCGGCCAATTACGCTTCTAGTAAATATTGCAAACAAGAACTGGACTATGCCTTACAGCGGAGTTTTGAAAAAAGTGACACAGCAGTGATTATCATTCGCATCGATTGGACTGACCCTACACGACTCCCAAAGACTCTACGAACAAAAACATTTTTGGATTACCATGACAGTGCAGAGAGAAAAGGATGGGAGAAGAGACTCATACAACATTTAAAGCCTCCAAAGCAACCAAAGAAAATGATAGTCAGCATAGTTTGAGAGCCACTTGTCGGAGACCGCACACTTCATTACTCTGACATTGCAGAGAAAAAATGGATGAGGGACGACACTCACAAGACATTTAAAGCCTCCACAGCAAATGGTAGTCAGCATGGTTTGAGAGCCATTTGTCGGAGAGCGTGCACTTCATTACTCTGACAGTGCAGAGAAAAAAGGATGGGAGACCTTAACCTTAAACTTGGAGGAAATTTATAAGAACTAAGCTTTGCGATCTATAAAGATTAGTTTGTGTGATCTAGCCCGCGAATCAGTGAGGAATCATTACGGGGACTTTCACGAGTTTGTTTGTTCTTGCTGCGAAGTAACTATGGCGATTTTCAAAAACTTGCACACGCCATCTGTGTGTGTGTTTAGTAAATATGTACATAAAATACAGGTCTTACAAACATATCATCCAAAAGTCAAAACAGTAACGGGAGTTTCATTTTAATATAGGATGACAAAACTAACGTATTACACTAGCGTGGTTAATTGATCTCCATAATTCTTAATATGATACTCAGCCTCTTTCATTAATTGTTAATTATTCGTCTTCAAATTCACTTTCGTTTCCTTGTCATTACATTTTCCTTGTCGCGGACGTCATAAATGCAATGCCTTCTAATAAGGCTCCTGGGATTGACAAAGTGCCAACTCGAGTCCTTAAGGACAGCCTGTTGATCACACTCCTTTTTATTACGTCAATCATCAATGCTTCTCTTTTAGCTTCAACATTCCCAGAGGTCTGGAAAACTGCCGAAATTACACCTATTCCCAAACAAGGCAACCACGAACTTCCTAACAATAACAGGCCGATTTCCCTCCTACCTGCATTGTCAAAGGTCTACGAGAGAGTGGCTTATAATCAGTTTGTCACCTATTTGACAACCAAGGAAAGGCTTACCACAAAACAAAGCGGCAACAAAAAATGGTTCTCTACTGAGACATCTTTAATTCACACAACTGATGCATTTCTCAAAGAAATTGATGATAAGAAATTGACTACCTGCGTGCTTTTAGATATGAGTAAAGCCTTCGACAGCGTTGACCATCAAATAATGTTACATAAAATACAAAGCGTCGGCGCCTCAACCAGCGCGCTAAAATGGTTTAACAGCTACCTTACAAATAGATATCAACTAATACGAATTCATAGTTCCGTTTCTGATACTCTTCCAGTTGAATGTGGCGTTCCTCAAGGCAGTATCCTAGGCACCCTATTATTTAGCATATATGTAAATGATCTACCAGTAGTTCCAAGGTACTGCTCTACAGAATGTTATGTAGACGATACAAAACTGTATGTTTGTTTTAATTTATACGACTCCCAACGGATTGTCCAAGAAATGAATGAAGATCTCCTGCAGGTGCGCAACTGGTGCTTTGGAAATCGGCTACTACTAAATCCAGACAAGACAAAATTAATTGTTTTCGGGAGCCGACAGATGACCTCTAAGCTCCAAGAATTTCACTTGTCTTGGTTGGGAAAGGACATTTCCCCAGTGCAATCAGCGAGAGATCTTGGCGTGATTTTGGATCCGAACTTAAGATTTGATAACCATATAATGACCTCAGTGCCGGAATGTATCGCACGTCTAGCGCAAATTAACCGGGTCAAACATTGCTTAGACAAAAATACGTTGTTAACCGTAATACATGCCTTAGTCTTCAGCAAAATGTACTAGTGTTCGAATGTTTGGGAAAATGCCACAAATAAGAATGTTAGAAAACTGCAGGCCGTTCAAAACTTTGCTTGCCGAATCGTCAGCGGTGAGAAAAAATATGATCATTGACACTCCTCTTAAAAAGTCTGTCTTGGTTGCCTGTTAAGGACCAACTGTACTATTGCCAAGCTATTATGGCCTTCAAATGCATGACCGGTAGCGCCCCTGAATATCTTACATCCCAATTTATTACCCGTGAGCAAGTTAGCGAACGAACAACTCGGAGTTAGCCAAAAGCTAAATATCCCTCTTTTCAGAACTGCCTCCAGACAGAGAACCTTTCATTACAGGACTGTTAAACTTTGGAACAATTTGGAATCTTTTCTTAAGTTAAGCCCATCTGTTGAAATTTTTGAACGTTCCTTAAGGAGCCAGCTTTTAGATAATTTTGTAAATACTTCTTAGTTAAGTTTAAAACATTGTAATTAGTAATTAGCTAACATTGTAATTAGTATTAGCCTTATTATTTATAATAAATAATGTAATATAATCATTGTTGCTGAAAAGCCCCTTTGGGGAGGTAACAATAAAGTATGTATGTATGTACAGTCAAACCCCGTTGATACGGACACTGAGGGGAGAGTGTCCTTATTGACGGGGTGTCTGTATTAAGCGGGTTGAAGTTAGAGAAAATGTAAGGGTTTTTTACCCCAGGGACAAAGCGAACTGTCCGTAATAATGAGGTGTCCGTGTTAATTGGGTGTCAGTAAAGCGGGGTTTGACCATAATACTTTTGATTTTTTGCTGGTAGCGAAGAGAACCGCAAATAAATGTGCCAGACCGTACGGTGTGGGATCCTAACCTTAAAACGCAATTTCATACTATTCGATACTTTGTCTGCTATGTTCCCCATTAACTGTCACCATTACGAGTCCTTTAAAGTTTCAAGTGTCAAGGTTATTTAGTATATATAACAAACTGTTTACAATCAATCCAACTGACTTGCGGGCAGCTAAACTAATCGAGGTAGGTCAGCCTCACAGTCATTTTTAAATATTTAACTAAGGCTGTGGTCTAGTCAAATGATTCTTTCTTGCGTTACTACTCCTCCTATCTCTCTCCAACCGCGAAATATCTAACTCTATGCTTTAGCCTGAACTAAATCAATTTTCTTGCCTTTCCACTACTGCTTGTACAGGGTTTGTCTCAGACCCGGGATCCGGAAAAAGCCCACCCCGACTCTGACGACATTTTTTTTAGTATGATGTTTACCCCTTTCGATTTGTTGTATTTTTATTTTTATATTTCCTAGTAGTGGCACTTTAGTTATTGGTTAGGAGCTTGCGAATATGTCTGTTATAGTTATTGCAAGATGATATATGTAAATGTAAATGTAGTGATTAGGGTTAGGAAACTGAGTGAAACAGGTTTCATTTAGGGTCATTATTACTACACAAACTCACACTCAGTTTTCTACCCCTAATCAGTAAACTTGGGCCCGGTTCCTCGAAAGATGCCGTTAAGTTTAACCCAGGATTATGCCAAGATTTTCTTGTCTAATAACAGGCCACACGAGCTGGCAAGAGACTGTTGTGCCTTTACTCTGAGATACAGTAATAATTACACCAAAACTTACTCTAAGCAATACATAGGAAGGAAAAATTTAAAAAAAAAAAAACGGAACAAAATTTTAATCCTGGATTAGCGCTAATCGGCCTTTCAGAAACCGGGCCCTCAGAATCATTCGGCGTTCGATATGGTTTTTCCTCCCCGCGGATCCCGGATTTTAGGTAAACCCCTTAATTATGTTATTTCTATGACTTTTCATCTGATGCATGGTACAAAGGCAAATTTAGTTTGATTACATCTGCTAAAAAGAAACAGAAAAGAAAGAAATAATTTGGGTACACACTCTCAAAGAAATGACATAAACTAAATGCTCTTTCCCAACCTCCCCTCGACTCGATCGTCATCTAGTCTATAAAAATATTCAAATGTGGTGAAAGTGAAAGCGAAACTGCAGATCAAACAGGAAAAAATCAACTTCTGCAGAGCACGACACACTGAAGAATTTTGAAACAGATATCCTCGATTTAAAGACAATGGCTTGTGACAAAATGACTCATATTCTCTTTCTAAATTTGCTGCTTGCAGCTGTGCTATGGACAACAGGTAAGAAGCAGGGCAGGAGCCAGAAGTGGCGAGAATATAAACTAGAGAATTCGGGGAATGAAAAGGCATAATGAGGTGTCTATTATTCCGTAATTGCATCTCGAAAAGTTGCCCTATTCCATCTGTTATTCTGACCACAAAAAGGGCATTATTTCATTATTCCAACTCGACAATTTCCGTTATTCCATAATTCGAACGCGAACATTTCCATTATTCCTATTGCATGAAAATAAATTTTCGAGTTCAAGAATGACGTAGTAAACAAAGATCAAAACATACCTCCTCATAAATGAAATACTTTTAATATCCTTAAAAGATATAGGTTACAGATTCGAAAATAGAACAACGTATTGGAGCGTTTTCAAGAGGAAAGTTAAGAAAGTTTTTGATCTTGCAAGATTTGTTTTCCTAGTCTGAAAAATTTTAGCTGGGAGAACTTTGTGCGTGATATGCAAATTTTGCCTTTCCGCGTCATTGACTGGTTTGATTAACTTAATGATGAGGTTTATGGTTCTGAACATTTTTTTAGGTGTTTTAATGAACACGCATCAATTAACCAAACAATGGTTCGTGGCAATCAGGTGCCTTACATGACGGAACAGTGTCAACGGACAGCAAAGCATGTACTGGTTTGAAAAATCTCGCCTACGGAAACGATCGATCTGCGACCGCTGTCATGTTGATATCGGTTGCTCACGAGTTCGGGGCGGAAGTGCGTATATGTCTCAGTGAACGAGTGATAGATTTGCATGTCGAGGTGTCCGAAATACTTGCCTTCTAAGCTACGCGTATCGACAAGTAAAAAACATATGAGGATCTAAGTCTGTGTAGCTTGAACAATACAAAACCGTTTTTCACAGAAGTTTTCTGACAAAGGTCATGGAAGAGCCACCTCGGTGTTGTTGAAAATAATTGTTTGGTTAAATTTTATCCTTGGCTTAATTCCCTTTGTTTCAAACTAATTATCAAGCATCAACAAACCAAAAACAGGAAACTAAGTTTGAAACCTAGCAGGACAAAATTTAACTACAAGAAAAATTACACCAACCCAACCAAAAAATGTTCCTGTAACAAGAAGGATTCATGAGACGTAGAACGCATGCACGTGAATGTCGTCGAGCTCAAAATCACAGGATACCCATACAACACACCAAACACAGGGACCCTGTCCAATACGCTCACAACAGGTTTCTTCATTGCTACATTTCTAGTATTTGTTTCTTCTCTAATTGGACTCCGCCTGTGCTTTACTGAATTTCTTTTCAGAGAATCGCCAATTTTATCTCTTTTCCTTGAGTTTTTTTTTTAGCGGGGTTTGAATGGTCAACTGCTTAGCGTTCCCCTCCACACATGCCGGTATTGGCCCAGTGATGTGAACACTCCATAGCACGGTCGTAGCAGAGAGAGGCGTCAAATTGGTTTGCAACGAAAGTACTGTACAGCCACTCGATACCACCTTAAAGTGGACGTTTAACACCCGCAAGATGAAACATAACGGATACAGGAATATCAAAATAGTCTGGCGTCCAGAAAGACAGGCATTTTATTCTCTAAATTCGCGCCATACTGAATACATTAACGTTTATCATTCTGGTTTTTGATTGCTGAATTCCTCTCCACAGATGCCAGTACCTTCCCAGTAATGTATTCACTCAGTAGTACAGTCACCGCAGTGAGAGGCTCCGACGTTAAATTGGTTTGCAAGGGACTTAATGTACCACCACTCGATACAGATTTTATGTGGAAGTTTAACAACGAGACAGTAGAGAATAAAGAAAACAGGAATATCAAACTAATCTGGCGTGCAAAAAAACGGGCAAAGTATTCTCTAGATATCTTAAATGTATCAGAGAAAGATGTCGGTGACTATCGCTGCATTGCCCAAGTTTATAACTTTCACAAAATCGACAAAGCCGAAGCTTCAATAAAGCTGCGTTTATATAAAAGCAGTAAGTATAACTTTTTTACCTTCGCTAAATTTATAAGTAAGAGCAAATTTTGTGTAAATGTAAAGTGTATTAGTTCTTTGTTTTTGGTAGAAGAGCAACCTCTTGAGACTAGACTATGTTTAAAGTGGTCGTTTGCAAGAGTTTGAAGACAGTTTTTTAAAATAAACGTTATCCAAAGAGAGGCCGATGAATGTTCAATTAAGACTTGACCGGGATCAGAAACACAAAACCGTGCATTAAAGTATCTGATACCCAGGTGGGCCCAGTTGTTCAAAGGTCGACTAACACTTAACCCAGGGTTAAATTTGACCCGAGTTTCTTTTTCTTTGTGGTTGAAAAGCATATTCTCGGATAATTTTCCCTGTTATTTTTAAGAACATCCAATCATCAACTTGTTGACAAAAAGAATTAAGCTAAAGTTACTTTTTAAGCTTTCATATCTGAATTCAAATTTTGCACTAACCCTGGGTTATCTTAACCCAGCTTTGAACAACCTGGCCCAAGATAATAACGTTCAAAATCCTCTTTGTTTATTCAATGAAGTTGTTAGAGAGCTCTACTCCTTCCCTAAGCTAACATTGACACTTCCTTCTCACTAAGGGCAAAANCAAAATCGACAAAGCCGAAGCTTCAATAAAGCTGCGTTTATATAAAAGCAGTAAGTATAACTTTTTTACCTTCGCTAAATTTATAAGTAAGAGCAAATTTTGTGTAAATGTAAAGTGTATTAGTTCTTTGTTTTTGGTAGAAGAGCAACCTCTTGAGACTAGACTATGTTTAAAGTGGTCGTTTGCAAGAGTTTGAAGACAGTTTTTTAAAATAAAAGTTATCCAAAGAGAGGCCGATGAATGTTCAATTAAGACTTGACCGGGATCAGAAACACAAAACCGTGCATTAAAGTATCTGATACCCAGGTGGGCCCAGTTGTTCAAAGGTCGACTAACACTTAACCCAGGGTTAAATTTGACCCGAGTTTCTTTTTCTTTGTGGTTGAAAAGCATATTCTCGGATAATTTTCCCTGTTATTTTTAAGAACATCCAATCATCAACTTGTTGACAAAAAGAATTAAGCTAAAGTTACTTTTTAAGCTTTCATATCTGAATTCAAATTTTGCACTAACCCTGGGTTATCTTAACCCAGCTTTGAACAACCTGGCCCAAGATAATAACGTTCAAAATCCTCTTTGTTTATTCAATGAAGTTGTTAGAGAGCTCTACTCCTTCCCTAAGCTAACATTGACACTTCCTTCTCACTAAGGGCAAAATGATGGCTTAGGGGAGGGGTAGGTGGGCAGTTTCTCAGAAACCTCAATTCTTCCTACTTTCTTACAGTACTGGACCTCACAGCATCGCCACCAAATGTCATCATTGAAGAAGGGCGCACTGCGTCACTGCAATGTGCAGTCATATGCTCAGAAGCAATGGACGTTTGGACGTTCTGGCTTTTCAACGGCAAAATGATCGAGGCCAGACCATTTCATACAGGAAACGAGCATGATTTAAGTAACACAGTCACAAACATCTCAACGCTGGTACTAAAGAATGCTATGCTATCACAGACTGGCGTATACACGTGCGGTGCTAATTCAACTGGCGTTATAAAAACACAGAACATAACCGTGACAGTGAAAGACTTGGAAGGTCCAGCTCTAGTGCAAACCAAATCGAATATAGACGCTGTTGACGGCGAAAATATAACGCTAAGTTGCAATGCAGTTTACCCGGAAGCGTTTTTTGTCGACACGTTTTGGATTTTTAACGGCAGCCGGATAAACAGTAACGACAAGTATAAAGAAAAAAACACTTCCCCTTGGTTGGAACAATCAGAACGGAGCGTAAAGAGAATGAAGATTGGATTGACTATTTATAACGTTGGACTGAACGACAGCGGCGAGTATATATGTGCTCTTAACACCTCACTTAGTTTACAGCTGATAAACGTCAGTGTTAAGGTCAGGAGGAGACTAGGTAAGCACTTGATCTTTCCTAAAAGTGTTCTTAAAGGGAACCAATCACGTTGGAGCCACCATTAGTAACAGTGTATTTACTAGTAATAACCAAAGGATAAGGACTAGTGCGGGCGACAACGATCGGAGGTCTAAACGCAGTCAAACTCTTTTGCTCAAACGCTTTGCTTTTGCGTAAGTTTCACTTGACAGATGGTCAAAACAGGCGTGATCAGTTTACTCGGGGAAGAAGGTCGAAACGAGCGTGATCAAATTGCGTTTTGTTCATTCAATTCATTCTTACTGCTCTCTCCTCCGCAGAGCCCTCTTTGTATCGCAGGGAGGGCTGGAGAGAGGGGAAAAGAAAGCGCGCGGGGACGTCCCCCGCGCGCTTTCTGTTTTTCGATTTTATTGGGATGCCCAGTGGGAGCCTATGCGGAAGAGAGAGTTCTTAGCGGAAGTCTAAACGAATGCTGGCCACATACATGCGACGCATGCGTATTAAAAAACAACCTGGAGATTAGGATTGGGGGTTCCTATCGTCGCCCGGAATTATTTTTTTGGGCTATTTATAGATTCAACTTTTGCAACAAAAAGCTCTTAGCTAATCCAAGAAGTCCAACTTTTTTAGTAAGGGGAATAAGACAGGCTAAGTATCCAGTGAAAAAGTTTAACTAGTTAAGGTACCTTAAAACCGAAGAAGAAGGAGAGTCTGTTTTAAAGCATCGTCTGTCATTTTGGATTGTGAAGACCTTTGTCGCGTGAACAGGAGCTAATTTTGAAAGAATGAAAGATGGTAAATTTTAAGCTTGGTGAACAAATGTAAAGATGACATAATCGGCATGTAACGAGCCTGGGACAAAGAAGAAAATCTGAGTCCCAGACAGGACTCGACCCTATGACCTCCCAAACACCGGGCGGGCGCTCTATCCACTGAGCTACGGAGAACTCATGGAGAGAGAGGCCATATACTGGGTTCAAAAAAGAGGAAACGAGTTGAAGACTAACTCGCTGTGAAACTAATGGTACACGATCGACGCTTCGATCCTGGGTGATGGGCTCTTGATCCCTTTAAAAAAGATACATTTTTTTTACTAATAACCTTTTTGGAAACGAAACAGCCCTACATTTTCTTAGGCCAGTTGAAGGGTACAGGAGGAGTTAAACTGCATACTCTGTTTAAAGCCATACTGTAGCTAGACTGATTTGTGTGGGAAAAAGGCATGGTACAGTGGACTCCCGATAACTCGAACCTTCAAGAGAAATCGAAAAAAGTTCGAGTTATCGGGAGTTCGAGTTATTGGGAGCTCGAAGAAAATAGCCGGGAGTAAGGAAAAAAAAAAGATTTTCACTGCACAGTGAACATTTTAATGTTAAGTGAAAATTTAAAGATACTTCTAAATCAGAACCTGAACGTAACGTAACAAAACATTGCCTAAACAGAGCATGCGTTTTACTGTTTTGAGAAGAAAAGCTGTTTCAGGCTAGATTTGTGACAAACAACATCAGCCTCCACTAGTAAACTATATGCCTACAACAAGTCAATGGGAAATTAAAAATTCAATGTTTCGGTCGCCAGTACACTGTTTTTTCCCGACTTTTTAAGAGTTCAAAACATGGTTCGAGTTATGGAGGGTAAAATTATATAGAAATCGGATTTGAGGGGAAACAAAAATTACTTCGAGTTAGCAGGAGGCTCCATTTTGTGAGGGTTTGAGTTATCGGGAGTCAACTATACTTAAAAAGTCCTAATTAATTTTCTACTTGCATGAATATTGACGTTTTAGGCACCGAAATTCCTCCGGATTTGAGTTCGTCTACTAAAGGGGACAATGGGAATGGAGATGTGCTTCAAACCAGTCTGTGTATTGGTCTGGGTGTCTTTGGGGGATTATTTATGATCATAATGGTTTCTTTGACGCTATGGAGAAGGTCAAGACCTAGACCTCCACAATCAAGTAAGCAAATAATGAGATAGATCATGAACATCAGATGGCGGAAAATATGCGGTTCATATCCATCCCCAACACAGTAGGGTAAGGCCTGGTTTAGACGCCGTATTTTTCATGTGTTGAACCTAATTGAATAAGTTCGACTTTACTGTAGACTACGAGTAGTCCCCCATTTTTCCTCAGGGATACTAGACCGAATGAAACGGGAGCGCGCGTGAAAATCACCCCACGCGAGAAAAGGCGACACGCGGCCGCGAGACCTCATTTTTCTCTCTCCCCACCACGTATCGCCTTTCTCGCGTTGGGTGATTTTCACGCGCGCTCGCGTTTCGCTTGCTCTACTATCCCTGAGGAAAAATGGGGGACTACTCGTAGTCTAACTTTGGAGCGACGCCGGTGCGACATCTGATTCAGACGGCTCACCGTGTGTCGAACCTAAGTTGAGTTCGACAACAGTTCGACAGACTCTGTCGAACTTAACGCTTTTGCCGTACCAAACTAAAACTGCCGCACCAAATTGATTCAGACGCCGCTCTTTTGTCATACTTTTTTTATCAGTTAGGTTTGGCACATGAGTGGAGCGGCGTCTGAACCGGGCCGAACGTGCAAGAAATGCTTTCACAATCGTCCTTTAATGAAGCGTAACCAAGTTTGTCCAATACACCTCGGAATGTGGAGTTTAGTTTTAATTTGGATTTGGATTTTGGACACAATACCAACCAGTTTCCTCTATCACAGTGAGTGGTTTTCTGTAGAGTAACAGAGAGGTGTGATCGGACGCTTGAAAATAAAAAGGGTCTTAATGGGTTGGTAGCTTTGACGATTAACCGTCAATTTTTTCCATTGTTGACGGTTGACGGTTATTAAAGGGAAACACAGTCCACGAGTTTAAGTTTAAGTACATAATACTTCTGTATAAGTTAATGATGTCTGTTGTGTTTTGGAGGTCGTATTGGCCTTTCACTTTTGAAATGTCGAAATTGATTTCGAAAGCAAGTTGTAACGGTAATCATAAATGTCTAAAGAACGTCTTTTGGAGAGCATTGGAACTGAAGGATTCTTCAGGAGCCAGAAGTCAGTGAAGATCAGATATTTGAAATACCCTCTGAACGTTTTTGACGGTTACTATTACCTGCGTTTTTGAAGTTAAAAAACATACCTTAAAGGCTGATCAAGGACAGCAAATGTCAAAGCCGAGATCATCTTTGATGACACCAATGTCTCCGTCCCCTTCTGCTTTTCATGGCTTATTTAACGTCCCCCTCTACCTGCTAAAGGATAAGTAAGCATGAAGAAGACCGTGTATGGCAACGGCTTACCGTCCACCACCCTTTTCTTTAACGTCTCCGTCTACCTGCTAAAGGATAAGTAAGCATGAAGAAGACCGTGCATGGCAACGGCTTACCGTCCACCCTTTTCTTTCTTTAGTTCTGAGCCTCTTTAAATATTTCTTGCGTTCTAGATAAATCTCCTCAAGATCTGGAAGAGGTGGAGCTTGTGCCGCGTGAAGCTGTTACCTCCAGCTCTGTTTAATTTTGATGTGAAGTATTGACGTATTCAGTACTACACTTTTTCTATAGTAAGTGTTTGAATGAGTAGGTAGGCTTACTCAGCTTTTCGACAAGTTGTAATCTGGCAGACTTTCACTTCCACATAATTAGTTCCCGCGCGGAATTTTAATGGTAACTTTTAAGAGATTGTTTGTTAGTCTACGACTCTAAGTAATAATTTTGGCGATTTTCAACAACTTGAATACATACTTTTTGCGTCTGCGTAGTACATATGTGATCAAAATAAGGTCAAACAACACTGATCCAATGTAAAATAACGCCATAGTATCATTCCAAGTCATACTGAATGACATATAGCTTACACCTTGCACTTGTGGTATATGGTTTATCGCTCTTCTTCAGTTAGACTTTCAAAAAAGTCCTTCGTCGGATTTCACTCGCGGTCGGCCGCTTTGCGGCCAAACAATGCTCGCTCCGCTCGCCAAGAGGTCGACTTGTAGCAAGTCTATTCTTCAGTCAGAGTTTGTTTTTCACTCATTTTCCTGCTTATATGAAGAATATGTTTTCACTCCGGTCCTCTTCCTATGATCTTCGTGGCAACTACGTACTTTCACTAAGTAGACCTAAAACAACTACCTATGGTCTTAACTCCTCTGTGGAATACACTGCCGGACTTTTTTTCGTACCAGTTTTTTTTTGCAGACTTTAAGACCAAAATACAGGATGTTATCTTCATGTAGATTCTTTTTGCTTGACAGACTTAAACTTAAAATTGTGAATTGTAAATAATATTTTCTTTTCTTTTCTTTTATGTGCTTTTTATTATTGATATTACTTTTTATTATTACTTATAATGCATTTAATGTATATATACATTTCTATTTTACTTTCATGTAGTGTCAGCTCGAAGATATTAGCTTGTTAGATACTCTTAAATTCGAGTATAAATAAAGTTTATGTTATGTTATGTTATGTTGTCGATATTTATCACCCCATTTTCAGATTCACTACTCACCCTCGAACACTTATAATTTCGATCTTGGAGTAAATTCTTGGAGAGAATTTATCCACTTAAGAAAGTCGCCCTAAGCCGCGGTCTAGTCGAAAAATATGGAACGGCAGACTGATCCTTACGGCAAGGCGATGAAGAAGTAAACAAAAGAATGAACAAAACAAAAATCTTTAATTTGCCCAACATTTCGGTTTGAAAACAAACCTTCTTCAGGGGCTAAAAGAAAAATGGAAATAAAACTAAAAGCGCAAGATGTTTAAATAAATTTTTGTTTTATTCTTTTGATTACTTCTTCATCGCCTTGCCGTAAGGATCAGTTTGCCGTTCATATTTTTCTACAAGTTTAATTGTACTGATCCAGGTCAACAACTGGGAGATCCAACACCACTCATTGGTTTGTTGCTGCAGACTTGCCGACATTTTACATATCGCGGTCTAACCAACTGATTCTTATATTTTTCTCAACCGAACGCCAGAAAACTCTGCTTCTATCGTTATTTTTCATTCTTCTCTTGCTCACACTAACTATCGCGCAGCAAAAGAGAGGAAAAATTAGTGAGGTAACTAGACTGCAAAACAGTCCGTATTTTAGCGTATTCAAGTACACGCGGAAGTCAAACAAAAGGTCTGGAACGAGGCTGAAAACAGAGAGCGAGACTGGGGAGAGATGCTAAAAATACGCCTTACGGGCGTGTGAGGCTCGCGCGCTTCGCGCGCGTAAGACTCTCACGCCACGCTTTACCGATTTCTTTACTGATTTTGAAAAAAAACCCGACTGTTTTGCAGTCTATGAGGTAACCGGATTATCATAGAGTGGGGTTTAACCACAGGTACCCCAAACTCACAAGTAAGAATCTTTGTTGCAATATAGCGTCACAGAAATGTTATTAGGGTTTTTATGGGGATTTTAGCGATTGTTATTTCGGGGTCAAATATAGTAACAAAAAGACATCACAATTTTTCTCCTTATACTACTACATGAGAAATTTCTGCAATTTGATTGGCTCGGAGCAGTGGTATTTCAGCTTAATTTGAAATACCTACATGTGAAAATTACAAACCTTTTGCGGGTAGTAGTATAAACAAATAATAGCAAGAGACTATAAAGGGGACAGAGAGGGCATCCCCAATATACACCTTATTCCATAGGTAATTCGTCTCGAGTTATTTTTAGAATCGGGATAAAGTTACCTCGCGCGAGGCGTGGATGTTTCGTGGAGGTTTCGCATGACGAAAAGGCCGTGCAAAACATGTCGGGCGAGAGGCAATGAAAGCGTAAAAAGATCGAGAGCATTCCTGAATATTGAAGCGAAATGAGTCGGCGCTCACCTGGGAAAAAGGAATCGCTGGACTCTTTGACAACCCGTGAAATCAGTTTAACTCGAAGTTGTCGTAACCTCAGTGCTTTAATAAAATGAGAAATTTCGCCGGTCTATTGAAACCGGTCGTTTGTACAATTTAGGGAGTTTAAGATCCAACGACGCGGACGACAACTAGAACGTCAAAAAAACAATAGGTTTAATTAGCAAAACAACAACTTCGCACGTGCAACACACTTTTTTGTTCATTTCTTTCCCGTTTTTGCACGACTACGACGTGAAAATGCCTAATTTCGCGTTTTATGGAGGACGTAAATAAGCAACGACGAAATTTTATTTCTCTTTCTGAGCTTGAATATGGTCCCTTGAAATTCAGCTTTAGGAGGGTTCGCCTACAATTGACAAAGTAAGTGGGTAGGAATAATCGCTATAAAGACTGAAAAAAATAAACATCAAACCAGAAATTGCTCTCTTCAAACTGTAAATTATAAATGATCCTGAGAGAATATTCAGTGTGTTAAGGATTTCCCTGCTCTACTGTTAGCTCTATACAAGAGAGGAAGGGCGATTCTTTTTTAATTTCGGTTTCGCTGACACAGCTTTCGCAGAAATCTCGCTGTAGTCGTTTTCGTCGACAAAAGGAATAGCAAAATCGCTCTCCGCGTCTTCTCCCATTTTGTTCTGCGTCCTTTCGTGAAGGACGCGTGGCTCTCAGCGTGGGTCATCCACGCGGAACAAATTCGCGCTATGTGATTGGCTGTTGTCTAATCCCCCTTGAGATCTGTGGTGTTAAAAATAACTCGAGACGAATTACCTATGGAATAGGGTGTATATGGGGGATGCCCTCTCTGTCCCCTTTATAGTCTCTTGATAATAGCATAATTTGTACGTGATATTTGGCATAAATACCACTCGTGATATTTCAAAACTGTCTCAAATTTCACTCTCCTACAGACTCGTGAAATTACGTATAACAATTTCAAAATATCACTAGTGATATTTATGCCAAATATCACTACAATTCATGCTTTTACCTATACTAATTTACGGTGTGTTCTTAGCACTTTTTGCCAATTCAGCGCGACTCCAGCGAGTTTTAAATCTGAACTTGGTGTGCCTGTGCTTTAATTGTGAACTCTACATTGTGCAAAGTACCCATTACAGCAATGAGGGCATGGTCGCAG